ATGAATTTAGGTACACTAGATGGCGCAACATATCGGTTTATCCATCTATCTATTCGTTTTCCACCTGATGAATCACTTTAAAATATATTCTATAAAATAATATATGCACAACAGAAATTAAATGATGAGATGAAAATGTGTTATAACGGCGCATAGAAAGAACAACAATTAAATGGACCTACAATATTATTGACTATTTGCAAATTGTAACTATTGAGACGAGTTAATAAAATAAAAATCAAGTCGAGAACAAGAACAAAATTTTATAAACGAAAACCTCTCGCCGAGCATTGGTTATTATATTATTTCTCTGTCATTGTTCCCATCTTCATTAAAAGGCATAAGATGACAAAAACAAGATCTTGAAGAATCTATCTATATACTACTAAAACTCTGAGATTGTTTGTTTGTTTGCTTATTTTCTCAGTCAAAAAATCATTCAAACTACCGTTCGCGCTCTTTACGAAACTTCATCGGGCCACGGGTTACCGAGTTAGCGCCGTTTTTGGGGTCACTTTTATGAAAATTTCTAGCATGAGTAATTTTACATCACACTACCGTTCGCGCTCTTTACGAAACTTCTTCGTTCAAATCTATTTCCCTGTCAATGTTCCCATCTTCATCAAAAGGCGTAAGATGACAAAAACAAGATCTTGAAGAATTTCTCGATAATGTGCCTTGGTTATGGTAGGTAATTCGAAGAAAAAATAAAGTGTTACTGTTTCTTATTTGCAGAATGTTTAAGAGGAAAGACCATAACATAATGAACTAATTCATCACAATACCTGAAAACTCTGACTTCACTTTTTTGAAAAATGAAATGGTCTTTACTTTTTACTCCCGATCAACAATCAAATATATTTTTTTAATTATGAATAACATGAATGGATTGAAATATTTAATTTAATTATCTCAAAATAAACCTCCATTTCGGTGCAAGATTGAAATTAGCTTGAATTCTTCATAACTTTTGAATAGTGGGTGACCCAACGGGTCACGGGTTGTCTAGTTTATTATAAAACTATGGTTTCTTTTGTCGATGTACTCACCATCTACAACTTTATAGAACATTTATTATAAACTATAGTACGTTTTGTGGATGTACTTACCATCTGAAACTTTATAGAACATTTATTATAAAACTATGGTTTATTTTGTGGATGTACTTACCATCTGAAACTTTATAGAACATTTATTATAAAACTATGGCATATTTTGTGGATTTACTTACCATCTGTAACTTTATGGAACATTTATTATAAACTATAGTATATTTGTTGTTAATGTGCTTACCATCTGTAACTTTATAGAACATTTATTATAAAACTATAGTTTATTTTGTTGATGTGCTTACCATCTGTAACTTTATAGAACATTTATTATAACACTATGGTTTATTTTGTGAATGTACTTACTATCTGTAAGTTTATAGAACATTTATTACAAAACTATGGTATATTTTGTGGATGTATTTACCGTCTGTAAGTTTATAGAACATTTATTATAAAACTATGGTTTAGTTTGTGGATGTACTTACTATCTGTAACTTTACAGATGAAAGCATTTTCCAGTTCACAAGGAAGAACTTTCCACTGTTTATCTTTGTCAAAAGCTACGCAGCTGGTACCATTGGTAGATGGATTCTCTGGCTGTCTTGGGCCCCAGTTTGTATAATAGACAGGCCACGTGTCGATCCATCGGAAACGTCCCTCATCCTGAAAGTCAGAAGTGGCAACATACGTAAATGCTAGCGCATGTATTCAGTTTGTAAAACATGTCTTTTCTTTGATCAGATCAAAACTGTTGTTCTCATAAAAAGTCTGAATGATAAAGATAAGGAAAAACATTGGATAATCTCAAAGTTTAAGAAAACTATAAACATATATTTCATACTTACTTTCTGAGAATACAATCCATTCCAGACCGTATCGTTCGTTGACATGAGCACTGAATGTAGAAAAGCTTGTTCGTATGGACTTGTGACTGATACTAGGTGGCCTTTTTCTTTTGCACACTCATTTTCAGCATCTTGCCAAGATTTCTTTTCTTTCTGGATAAGCTTGTAACAAGATTTCTGATATCCTACGTAACCCCTACCTCGCGAGGAGCAATCTGTTTCAGAAGGCGGCGGAGTGGTGATTTGTGGATCTGGAATTTGATAAGTTTTATGTATTGCAATTCCTTTCAAGGGAAATATTTTTTTATTTGAAAAAAGTTATTATTAAGTGTTATTAGGTAAATGTGTTATAAAACATTCCATTTTCATGAATAGTTATGAATAAATATTATTTCATTTTTCTTAAACGTTTCAAAATAAATCCAGGGGGAGTATCCAGGCCGCACTACTAGAGCAGTTTGGAAGACTTGTATTTGTCTTTCCAAAGAAACCTGACAGTAATAGTTCATTGACATCTAACAATGAAGATATGCTACTCGACCAATAGAAAGTAACGTCTCCCTCTGTCACTGCTATTGGTCGAGTAGCATTTAGTAACGTCTCCCTCTGTCACAAATGCTACTTGACCAATAGCAGTGACAGGGGGAGACGTTACCAAATGCATTGTTGATACTATTTATGTTTTACCAAAATGAGCATTACTTCAGGAGAAATGACAGTGTTTTTAAAATACTGCTAAAATGACAGCATGAAAGTTGCAGTGTTGTTACATGAGACTACGACGGCCTAAACATTTTGTTACGTGAGACTACGGTGGCCTAAACATTTTGTTACGTGAGACTACAATTGTCTAAGCCTCTTGTTACGTGAGACTACAATTGTCTAAACCTTTTGTTACGTGAGACTACGGTGGCCTAAACATTTCGTTACGTGAGACTACAATTGTCTAAACATCCCAGAGGCCCCACATTCCTCAATGTTTTGTCACAGCGTGTTTCTGTTTCTCTACAAAACATCATCATAATATTATCACACAGGTGCTTGTTGAATTCCGCGCAAAGCTACACAGGACCTATAGTAGAGGGAATACACCATGTCAACACTACTCATCGCCAGTTTTGGATACTCCTTTATCAGGGCGAATAGTGGTATTTGACCATTACTTTCATAACTCACTCACAACCCCACATTACATAACGCGATTCTTTGTTCTTTCTTTTTTCATAAATATATTTTTTATTTTTTGATGAACCAAGGAAACTCTGATCCGTTCTCCGGTACGCTAACCTCTGGGCCCAACTAGACCCAACAGATAGGTCAACTTCTTTAAAATAGCTATTACCTAAAATCTGTGGTACCCAAGATGTGAAAACGTTTAAAATTCCTTAACTATTCTATTCTTTCAAAGCATCAACAATAATATTAATATTGAAATATTTATATGTTTTCTATAAATGTTATGACGTACCCATGATTTTTAACAGAATTTCCTTTCATTTCTAACTAAATATGAAACTATTCCTCAAAATACTTTTAAAATTAAACAACCAAAATCTTGAAAATGTAATCCAAACGACGAATTTTACTTTGTTTGGAATCACCTGTTCATAAACAAACCTTTATATCTCTGACAAAGTGTAATTCAAACGACGAATTTACTTTGTTTGAAATCGCCTGTTCATAAACAAACCCTTATATATATCTGACAAAGTGTAATCCAAACGACGAATTTACTTTGTTGGAAATCGCCTGTTCATAAACAAACCTTTTGTATCACTGACAAAGTGTAATCCAAACGACGAATTTACTTTGTTTGAAATCGCCTGTTCATAAACAAACCTTTATATATATCTCTGATAAAGTGTAATTCAAACGATGAAGTTTACTTTGTTTGAAATCGCCTGTTCATAAACAAACCTTTATATCTCTGACAAAGTGTAATCCAAACGACGAATTTACTTTGTTTGAAATCGCCTGTTCATAAACAAACCTTTATATCTCTGACAAATGTAGCTTTGCTTTCGATCACAAACGTAGTCATTCCATTTTCCGATTTTTGTGTTTGATGACATCATTTCTACACATTTTTCCTGCAAAATTATAATAAAGCATTCCTTCAGTCTTACCTCAGAACGAAAATACTAAAAAGTTTAGGTTAAACCGACTTTTAAAAAAAAATTATTCAACATTTTTAGTTGAACTTTTAAAAAAACGAAACATTAGAAAGTTTAGGTAAAATACAGGAATTAAAATTCACACATTAAACTTTTAGAAAAATTAAAGTATTGAAATAGCTTTTAACACAATTGAAGTATTGAAAACCTCACGTTATAACCAGGGATGTTGAAATTTCTGGAAAACAGTTATTAAAAAATAACCGAAATCTTT